CATATTCCTATAGGAAAACTAAATTCCTACAAGTTAAATATCAAAAGCTTTAAAAATCTCCAATTACAGTAAAATATAAAAATAAACTATATCATTCAATACCAGATTCAAACATTTTGTATTGCATGATTTACTTTGGGGGATGTGATGATTCAAACATTATACTTGTAAATCATTTTTACATAATTTTATAACTTATTAATATATAGTTGCATAATTCCGATTACTATCACTTCATGCCATTACTTTAAACAATTTACTAAGGGGAGGTAATAATTTTGAAACTTAAAGATGTATTTTTTTAAAGTATTTTTAATTGAATATATAACTAAAAGTTTATAGTTGTTCACTATTTATTGCATCACTCAATACCATTACCACACCATCTTTTATTAAATGATTAACTAGGAAAAAGGAAATAATTCAGAGGCAAGTTTAGTAATTTACTCAGGGGGAGGGTATAATTCAGACAGATATTTGTAAATTAATTTTACATAGTTATACAGGGTGACAACCATAAGGTGAAACACATAAAGTAAGCTATATTTTCAAATTTAAGAGTTATATTTATTCGAAAGTGGTATTAATAGAATGCTACAAGTGTATTTAACAAGTTTTATTGGTTTAATTCGAACCTGTCGCCCTCTGCTTTTATGCAGGCTCGACATCTCTTGAAAAAGTTTTCACGCGCGGCACGCACGGTTTCTTGTGGCATTTTGTCCCAAATGTCGATCAAAAGTTCCTTGAATTGGTCCAAAGTTGTTAATTTATGCTTCCCCAGTTCTTGTAGCATGTATCCCCAGACAAAGAAGTCAAGGGGATTGAGGTCAGGACTCGAAGCAGGCCATTCTTTGGTATCGATAAAATCTGAAAATTTTGCTTGCAGTAATCTTGAACAACAATAGCCTTGTGTGCAGGGGCAGAATCTTGCTGGAACACCCATGGATCATCACCATACATTTCTTTAGCCTTAGGTTCAATCAAATCTTTGATCACATTCTGTAAGTAGTATTCTTTGTTGATTTTCACCCCTCTATCGATAAATTTCAGAAGAAATTTCCCCTTTTTCGAGATGGTCTCGAATACCATGACCGCCGAAGCGTTCTAATAACGAGGGACAGTTCTAACATTTAAAGGAACAATAGAGATCTTTACAGCATAAACTCTGCCATTTTGTCTGTTCAACGGGCGCTCCAAAGTAAACATTTTCTCGTCCGAAAAAACAATATCTGCACCACCGTGCCGCTTCAATAGCGATTTGCAACGCTTGACTCTTTTCAGCTTATTTTTGTCAGTGAGGCCGGCAATTTTTTGTTTACGGTAGCACTTAAGTCTTAAATCTTGTTTTATAATCTTTTGCATAGAGGTATATGACATGTTCAGCTCTTTAGCTAGCTGCCGACCTGAGCGAGCAGAATTTCTTCGTAAACGTTCTCTTACCACTTTGATGATTGCTGGAGTGCGTTGACGCGCTTTCTTTTTCTAGTTTTAGCTGGAATTGTTTGCCCAGTAGTTTTGTAACGAGAAATTGTTCGACTAATCAATGATTTGCTGACTTTTAAATCATTTAGGCGTGGTCAAATATCAGCTTGACTTAAATTTTTTTGTGTAATGAAATTATCAGCTCCCTGATAGGATTTAGATCTGTATTTTTCATACAATCCCTCATTTTTTCTTCCTCAAATTTTTTAAACTTTTTCTAAACAAATGTCAAAACAAACTGTAAACAAGGGGAAAGTCATATGGTACGGGGTTAATAAATGATTGGGGTTCGAAAATGTGTTTCACCTTATGGTTGTCACCCTGTATAACTAATTTATTCAGTTTAAACAGAAATTATACAACTATCAACTAATTATTATTTATTTTATAGTTGTAGAATTTTAATCATTATACTGTAATAAAATTCAGACTGTCTTACATTGAGCGATTTATAAAGGAGAGGTATTAATTCAGAGAGATATAATTTATATCTGTCTGAATTTTACTTTTACATATACTGTTATATAATAAAAGTATTTGTAAAATAGTTTCATGCAAATAAATAACTAATTAGTATATAGTTGTTTATTTTCTATCATTACGACACTTTCTTATATCGTCTTTCTTATATTACTTTTATGTAAACTTTATTTCTAAAATTCTTGTCATCTAAACGTTTTTTTCTCTTTGTTTATGTTTACAAAGGTAGTACGGACGTTTTAGGTATACTTCTAACAGTTATAACCCGAAAGCGCAATCTCGTTTTGAGTTTTTCATAGGGGGATAGAATAATTCAGGCGGTGGAAATAATCTACTACATAATAATCTATGTAATAAAATATTACATCCGCCTAAAATATCACATTCATCACAGAAAAAACGAAAACGAGATTGCGCTTTCGAGTCATTGCACTTAGAAGTGTATCAAGTTCGTCCGAAACATTAGTTATAAACAATATAACAAAAACGCAACGAGATTCACAAAAACTTTTTTCTACTAACATACTATAAATGAAGTTAGCATAAAATGGTAATATATTTTAAATTCATATTTATAAAATTTTGATCGTAATGTATTGCGTGACAATACTAAAAAAAATGTTACACAAAAGGGATATAAAACTTTAGGTAATAAAAATACCAATCGTTTGCAATATTTTAGAAGCCTGCATAGGGGGGGATGTGATATTTTAAGTAAGAATCCCAGTTTCTTTTTGTGACATATACAGTGAAAAAACCGAGGGAATGTGATATTCTACACCTTTTCAAGGTGTAAATGAGAACATGAAAGTTGTAATTAAGAAGTCGTAATATGTAATTAAGAAACACAACATGTAATTGAGAAAACGTTATATGTAATTGAGAAACACAACATGTAAATAAGAAGTCGTAACATGTAATTAAGAAACACAACATGTAATTGAGAAAACGTAAGATATAATTGAGAAATCAAAATATGTAATTGAGAAATCGTAACTTGTAATTGAGAACACATAAATTAAAATAGCAAGTTCACAGTCTAAAATAGCAAATTCACAGTCACAGCGCGTGGTCATCCTTCCTCGGACAAATCCCGCCATGGCCCTCGGATTACATACCGCATATTTATTGTTTTTAGTGTTTATTACGTTAAATTCATTTGCCCAAAAATTATAAATTTTTTCCTAAAATGTTTTTAGTGTTTATTATGTTAAATTCATTTGCCCAAAAATTATAAATTTTTCCCTAAATTTTTCCCTAAAAACTTAAATTTACGCTGCAAATCTTGCGTCATTTTTAAGTGCGTCATTTTTATACGCTCCATTTTTTTACGCGCCATTTTTTTTAAGCGCCATTCTACACTTACTCCTTTAAAGAGATATCTAAATTAAAATTTTCGTGTTCTCAATTACATCTTTCTATTTCTTAATTACAACTTACATTTTCTCAATTACATGTTACGATTCTTAATTACAATTTTCGTTTTCTAAATTACATCTTATGTTTCTTAATTACAACTTACGTTTTCTCAATTACATCTTACGTTTCTTAATTACAACTTTTGTTTTCTCAATTACATCTTACGATTCTTAATTACAATTTTTGTTTTATCAATTACATCTTGAAAAGGTGTAGATACCAAATATTAATCGTTTAAAATACTTTATAAATTGCTTAGGGGGATGTAATATTTTAGAAGTATACATAAGGGGGATGTGATATTTTAAGTAAGAATTCCAGTTTTTTTATGTGACATATATAGTGAAAAAACCGAGGGAATGTGATATTCTAGATACCAAATACTAATCGGTTAAAGTGTTATATGAATTATTTAGGGGGATGTAATATTTTAGAAGTATACATAGGGGGGATGTGATATTTTAAGTAAGAATTCCAGTTTCTTTTTGTGACATATACAGTGAATAAACCGAGGGGATGTGATTTTCTAGATACCAAATACTAATCGTTTAAAATACTTTATAAATTGGTTAGGGGGATGTAATATTTTAAACCGAGTAAACCGAATAAACCGAGGGGATGTGATATTCTAAATTCCAAACACTAATCGGTTGAAGCATTATATGAATTACTTAGGGGGATGTAACACTTTTGAAGTAAACATAGGGGGGATGTGATATTTTAAGTTGGTTTTTTGCTTTTTTTATGTGATATATATAGTGCTTACACTGGGGTGTTGTGTTACTCCTATAAGGAAATATAAATATTTTGCAAAATGGTATTAATTATTTTGGGGAATATTCTAGAAGCCTGCTTAAGGATATTTGATATTTTAATTTAGAATTTTAGCTATTATTTGCAAAATATTTAGAGATTACTCAAACAGTCTTTTTTCATTTTTTTTAGATTTAATTGAGCTAACAAATTAAAAATGTATTGTTGTTCAATCAATGTATGGCTTTCAACAACTTAAAGTATTATAACTATACAAGAAGTTACTGAAACTAAGAAAAAAAAGTTAACCTATTTGTGTTTTTATCTCTTAGTGCATAAACATTTAAATTGGTTCAATTTACGAAAAATTTTGAAGAAAAAGAAATAACTGCAGTTTGTAAAGTTTCACTTATTGTTACATTTATATATAAATTTTTTCACAACAAAATAAAGTTTCATTTCTAAAAACAATGCATCCCATATGATACCATCTATTCGGAATGCAAATATCACATTTTATCTAAAAATAAATATTTAATGTACATTCTTCTATTTGAATATTTAAAGTATTTTTTTCTATTCAAAATTTCTATTAAAAAATAGTTAAAATATATTTTGTTACCCATTTATCTTTTTTTTGATTTTTTCTAGTTTTTGGACCAATTTCACTACCACAAATTCGACACAAACTGTTCTGCCAACTTTTCTGACCTATTGATTTAATGTTGCATCATTTTTTTTTGTCTTAATTTTAAGATATCATTTAACATTGAAGTAATGTAAACATTTTCAGTGCTCTAAAGAATATCACAAATCTCCTTTATCTAATAGAAACTGTTATAATAATATATTATTTCTAATAGAAACACTCTCTTTCTGTATGCATTCACTTCTTCATGTGGAAAGACACGCACCAATTCTTCTCCATTTATATAATTTTCAGCAAACTAAAATATTCAAGCTCATATATATATATACATATATATATATATATATATATATATATATATATATATATATATATATATATATATATATATATATATATATATATATATATATATATATATATATATATATATATATATATACATATATATATACATATTTATATATATATATATGTATATATATATACATATATATATATACATACATATATATATACATACATATATATACATATATATATATATATATATATATATATATATATATATATATATATATATATATATATAAATATATATATATATACATATATATATATATATATATATATATATATATATATATATATATATATATATATATATATATATATATATATATATATATATATTTATATATATATATATATATATATATATATATATATATATATATATATATATAAATACATCATTAAATTAATGAGTCATTAACTTTTTTAAATAAAAGTTTTTTAATACCTTATGCCTTCTTTGTATTAAATCAGTTTTAATAGGCAATTCATCCAGTGAGAGAAGCCCAGCTGGCGACAGTACTTCGATTCGATTCTTCAAAGCATCAATAAATGGAATGGCGTTTAATATATTGTTTTATATTTAGAATTAAAATTTTATTTAAATGAAAATGGATTTAAAAAAAAATGCAATATTGTTTTTTTGTACAAAAATTTTATTATGAAGTACATTAGTTAGTCATACCTTTTCCTTACTGTTTACTAATATTTTGAGATAATTATAAACAACTTCGTCACTGAGGCATTCGTTTAAAGTATCTTTTAAGGAATAGTCGTATACCTTGCAGCCACCTATTTTTGGATATATACCCATAATGACTTTTACCGGGTTTATAAAACGGAGACATTTTATTATTCCGTGACCTATTTATGAAATACAATTTAAGCATAATTTCATCAAAATTTAAGCATAAGTCTTTCATCTGCTAATATAATGACTATTGCATTTATTAAAGATTACATGTTTTAAAATTCTACGCTTATTTTTTCACCAGGTGGGATAATGTTTAAATTAATTATTTAAATAGGTTTACATAAAAATCTTTATTTTACTGGTGCGCTAATGAATAATACATACCTTCTGCATCTTCAACTATGCAGCTTTTTCTTATATTTACTATCTCTAGAAAATTAATATAAATAAAAACAAATGAAAATAAAACGCCAACAATTATAAATGAATAGGTAAGTTTTTAATACATACCTTTACTGTCTTTATCTGAAAAGTTTTTTTTTGTCTCTGCCTTCTCTAAAAAACATGCAATACTTGTCACCTCTAGAAAAAAACCATACATTTCAATAAAAAGCTAACACTAACAAAATATAAAGATAATTTATTATTAAATACCTTCACTGTCTTTAACTACCAAGCTTTTTATCTGATTATCTGTCTCTTCTAAAAAATAAATTACAACCAAAATAAAACGCTAACAATTTTAAATGAATAGGCAAGTTTTTAATACATACCTTCACTATCTTCAACTACAAAGGGGATTGGTTTCTCTGCCTTCTCTAAAAAACAAGCGATACTTTAAAATAAAACGCTAACAATTATAAATGAATAGGTAAGTTTTTAATACATACCTTCACTATCTTTAACTACAAAGGGGATTGGTTTCTCTGCCTTCTCTAAAAAACAAGCGATACTTTAAAATAAAACGCTAACATTTATAAATGAAAAAGTAATTTTTTAAATCCTACTTTTACCATCTTTTACTACGAAACTTTTTTTTGTATCTGCCACCTCTACAAAAAACAATAAATTACAATAAAAAGGTAACACTAACAAAAAGTAATTGTAAAAGTAATTTATTATTATATACCTTTACTGTCTTTAACTGAAAAGCTTTTCATATAATTATCTGCCTCTTCTAGAAAATAAATTGTAAATAAAATAAAACGCTAAGAATAACAAGTGAATAGGTAAGTTTTTAATACATACCTTCACTATCTTTAATTTCAAAGCTTTTTATTGGTGTATCTGCCTTATCTTGAAAATAAACTATAAAATAGAGTAATTTAAAAATATATGTTTTGACTATAAATTAAAATAAGAAAACAAATATTTTACCCCAGTATAAATTAAAATGCAATAAATTTTTTTTTCATAGACCATAAATTAAAAATATAAAAGGAATCAGTTACAAAATACAAGTTACCGTTTATGCTTTCCATCGATGAATGTTTTTTTTCAATTTCTACTTCGTTTTTTGTCATAATTGTATTTAAAGTAGAGTATACAAGGGTCAAATTAGAAATAGTTCGTTATATAGCAATTATTTTCATAAAACTACTTTCTTCTTGGAATTAAAAATGATATTAGCTATTCGAAAACTTATACTTCAGTAGTGTGCATACCTTTATCACAAGTGCCTGCGATAAATTTCTTGACATGGGCTCTTTTGTGGGTTCCTTTTATAATAACTTTTCCGCTACTCAGCTTGAAATTTCCACTTTTGGTAATACGGCTTACTTCATAAGGCCCTTTAAACCGTGGCTTAAAAGCTGCTCCTTTGCTTCTTTTTCCTCTAATATCAAGAAGTAAAACTTTGTCTCCAATATTAATATTTTCTTCGTTACATTTGATATTTTTCGAAACTTTTTTATCATAGTACTTTTTTTGTTTTAATTGAGCTTCTTCAATGTTCTAAAATTTATAAGTATAGTAATTAGAATAAAAGAATTCAAACAAATAGATGATTAAAGATTAGGTCTCAAAAATTAGATTTTTAAATTTAAGTGGCAGCAGCAATTACCTTAGTGACTATATTAGTTAAGTTTTCAATATGTTTTTTTTTTTTTTTCGACTTCAGCCATTACGTCATCTTCATTTGCAGTAAATATACTGATCTCCTAAATAAAAAAAGTTTGCTTTTCATGGGTATAGTGAATACGGGGTACAATGTCAAGTTATATCTATAAAATAAAGGTGATTGCTGAACATATTTTTTCACAAATGTACTTACTTCTTTAAACTCATTTATGCAAACAGGTGAACGACCACCAAACATTAACTCAAAAAGTGACACTTTTGTAGAAGTTTGCCTTTTGATACGTAAGGGATACAAAACTGTGTCAAGATACTCATCCCAGTTAGACTGGTTTTCGTCAATAAGTTTTCTAATTTTTCTAATAAACGATATTTTAAAGTAACAATGTTTTTTATGATTTTATTGTATCTCAAAACAATAACAAAACAATGCATACCTTTTTATATTTTTATTCGTATTTTCATCTTATCCATTTGTTTGTGGATGATAAACTGCAGTTTTTCGTCGCTCTATACCCAAGATCTTATACATCTCATCGTTTAACTAATTAATTATTGGCAAAAAAAAAATCTAATTTTTTTTGAATATTTGCTATTAAAAATTTGGTGTTACACCAAATATTTTATCATTACTGGACATCAGCAACCGGGATGGCGGTGGGGTCATTTTCACTTTCCCACTTTTCCCACTTAAATAATAAAAAAATGTACCTCTATTATGCGTTACAAAAAGTAAATCAGAATAAAACCTGTTGAAAATCAACAGGTTTTATTCTGATTTACCCACAAAGAGTTTGACTGAACTAGTAGAATTCCATTAAATTATTTTTTTCTACACGTCTACATTAATTTAGACCGTTTTGTATCATCATTGTTTACAGAAAACAAAAACCTTGCAGAAGACCAATTTTTATCTGGAAACCTCATGACGCTAAATATCTGTTTTATAATTTTTTTTTTCATAAATGTATATAACAAATACCTCATTGCAAAACTCAGTTCCATTGTCAGTAAGAATAACAGATGGAAATCCAAAGGTTATCACGAGTTTTATTATTGCTCTTGCTACTGTTATTGCTTCCTTATTCGGTAAAGCGTATGCTATAGGCCATTTAGAAAATAAATCAGTACAACTCATGAAGTATTTATTACCCTTTGATGTTTCAATAAATGGGCCAGCAAAGTCTATACCAATAATTTCCCATACTCTTGTTGTCTAAACAAGATGTTTTAACATAATGCAACATAAGAAACCCGGTGGGAAGCGAGCTAGCGATTAGCTAGCGACTAGCTAGCTTTATAGCGATTTTTGAGCAATTTTTTTTTTCTTATTTAATTTTTTCCTTAAGTCTTTAACATCATTGAAAATTCGATTTTTAGTGTTGGATCTATTATAATTATGAAAATAATTGAACTTTAAACATTGCGACATTGTAACGATATATCGCTAGCTATATATCGCAGTTTTTTAGTCAGCGATTTTATTACGATATGACACTAGCTACATATCGCATTTGTTTAGCTGGCAACTAGATAGCGATATATCTATAGCTATTCGATAACTACAAATTGCAGCTTCTTAGCTATCGATTTAATTACGAATAATCGCTAGTTACGTACCGTAGCTTTGTAGCTAGTTACAAGATAGCCACAAATCGTTAGCTAGTTGATAGCTACATATCGCATTTTTTTAGACAGCGATTTTATTACGATTTATCGCTAGTTACATATCGCAGCTTTGTAGCTAGCTACAAGTTAGCCAAAAATCTATAGCTAGTTGATAGCTACATAACGCAGTTTTATAGACAGCGATTTTATTACGATATAACGCTAGCTACATATCGCATTTGTTTAGCTGGCAACTAGACAGCGATGTATCTATAGCTATTCGATAGCTACATATCACAGCTTCTTAGCTATCGATTTAATTACGATTTATCGCAAGTTACGTATCGTAGCTTTGTAGCTAGTTACAAGATAGCCACAAATCGATAGCTAGTTGATAGCCACATATCGCAGTTTTTAGATAGCGATTTTATTACGATTTATCACTAGTTACATATTGTAGCTTTGTAGCTAGCAACAAGTTAGCCACAAATCGATAGCTACTTGCTAGCTATATAATGCAGTTTTATTGACAACGATTTTATTACGATTTATTGCTGGTTACATATTGTAACTTTGTAGCTAGCTACAAGGTAGCCACAAATCAATAGCTACTTGCTAGCTATATAATGCAGTTTTATTGACAACGATTTTGTTTCGATTTATTGCTAGCTTCATATTTGTAAGCCTTTTTAGCTAGCTACAAGGTCGCCATAAATAATGGTAATAATAATTGAACTTTAAAAGTAAAGATTTTATTACGATATGTCGACAGCTACATTTCGCAGCTTTTTAGCTATCGATTTGAATGCGAAATATCGATAGCTGCATATAGTTGTGATTTAGCTAGCTAGAAGATAACGAAAAGTCTTTAGCTACATATTGCGGCTTTTAAGCTATCTATATTTGAGCACGAAATGTCGATAGTTTTTTAAACAGTTGCAGTTTATGCGCACTGTTCCGAACGTGTGGAAATAAAATGTTAGTAAGATGGTAGATGAGCGTGGTAAGTTTTAACTATAAATAATAATATTTTATTTAGTTAAGTTTAACTATGAATAATAATGATGTATTTAGTAAATTAAAAACACTGATGGTGATTTCAATTTACCAAATACAATCCCGTCATATATATATATATATATATATATATATATATATATATATATATATATATATATATATATATATATATATATATATATATATATATATATATATATATATATATATATATATATATATATATATATATATATATATATATATATATATATATATATAATTTTAATGCAAGACCGGAATTTTTTTTATTTTTTTTTATTTTATTATTTGATAGACTGCCTGCCCAAACCAAATCCTCAGTCGATGTAGCAGCACTCCTTTGTGAGTCAGGCTATTTGTGAGTCAGGCTATAAGGTAGTCAATGTAGCAACACTCGCGCATGTTTTACAGTAAAAAAAATAAAAATAAAAACATTTTATTTAAAAAATAAAAATAAATACATTGTTTATATTTTTAAAAACATTGTTTTTATAAACATTCTGGTCAATTAAATTTGCGTTTTTGCGGTTTTTTTAAAAAATAATTAAGTTAATGGGTTTTAACTTTAAGACAACACGGAAATGTTGAGAGTAATTAAAAGTGACGTAATTTGTTGTCAAAAGAATCATTTTTTACCTTCCGTACTCTCAAAGCTAACAATTTATAGAACTATATATATATATATATATATATATATATATATATATATATATATATATATATATATATATATATATATATATATATATATATATATATATATATATATATATATATATATATATATATATATATATATATATATATATATATATATATATATATATATGTATGTATATATATATATATATATATATATATATATATATATATATATATATATATACTTTTGTTTTCTCGATTAAAAACGCATTAACGCGTGTCATGAAATAGCTGTCTAGAAGTTTTAACTAACATATTTAGTATACCGCATTACGCAATACCAATTATGCAAATAATGATTTTTAGCCATATTTTAATTTGTCATATTGAAATTTACTATACCCCAGCAAACATTTAGACTAAAAAAGACGTCTTTTAGATGTATAAAAAACGTCTAATATGTATAAAAGACATATTTAAGACGTCTTTTTTAGTCTAAATGTTTGCTGGGACATAACCAACAATTTTATCGGTATTGCTTTTTTTGCACTATCACTCTACTATTCATATTGTTTTAAAAATATCAATATCAAAAATGGCATGTAAAAGATCTTCTGATGAACCTTCGGAATGCAACAGCTTTCTTCAAAGCTCTAAACGGATGGGCCAAGTTGCAACGGTAATTACATTTCATTTGTTTGATCTATATATAGGACTCTAATAATTTAACTTGCATTTTCCTCTTTTATTTTAGTTTTTATTATGTTACCGTAAACCGGGGTTTGAACGTTTTTGAGATATTTTTACTTGCTTTTTCCTCACTATTGACAATATTTAAAATTTAACAAAATGAATATAAGGGCTAAGGTTAACTCACACATAATTCAAATTCAAAATATTATTTAAATAATATTAATTTAAACAGTTTAATATTAATTTAAACAGTCATTTAAAGTTCTTTTAAAATTATTTTCTTGTTAAACGATATTTATGTTTTATAAAATGAGTTTTTTAAAATCATTTTATTATTTTTAAAAACCCTTTTTTGCGTTACCATTAAATAAAATGTTTAAAAAAAGTTGTCACAGACTTGTTATGTCAAATGTTGGTTGTTTCCAAATTATTGAAATTCCATTTACTATAAAATTTTTAACTATTATATTCTTAGTTTTAAATAATAACGGTCTTGTTTAAACGCATCAACGTTTTTGCTTTTGTATAAAACCAAAAACGTTGATGCGATTCTTAAAAACGTTAAATTGCTGAAAACCTCAAAAATGATACAATAAAAAGCTTTAATTTTGTCGTTTAAAAGTTAAATATGTTGAAGTGCCTAATACAGTAGCGTTAAAGCTAGCTAGAAGATTACAAAAAGTCTATAGCTATTTGATTGCTACATATCGCAGCTTTTTTTTAGCTATCTATATTTTAGCACGGAATGTCGATAGTTTTTTATACAGTTGTAGTTTCGGCCCACCTTTGAATGTGAGCATTTTTAAACTAACTCAATAAGTTATTTTTATTACAATCAATGTATTATTGTAATAAAGCATTGCATAAAATGTGTTGAGTATTTAACTTAGGTAAAGTTGAGTTGATTATGAGCTGTATTTATTATGATTTCTTTTGTCCTTTTTTAGTAACAGATTTTTCTATATGTCAAGGATTAACCTTTTTTGGATATTTCCAGAATTCTGGAAATTTTTTGTAATTTTTTTTTGCTGGATATTTAAAACATATTCTAAACTTAAAAGTTTAAATACATCTATTTCTTTTATAAGCTTTTTCACTCATCACTCATAAAAAAATAAAGAAAAGTTTGAAAAAAAAAATAGAAAAAACTCAGCTATAAGCAAAAATAAGAGGAAAATAAGAGAAAATATTTTCCGGGTATTTTACCCAAACAAATTTCCGTTTTTTTAAAATATTGCCTGGACGATCTATGATATGTATATTGTATAAAGCTATGATTGTATATATATTAAAAAAGTTATTTTCTTTAGCATATTCTTACTGCAGAATCAGAAGTAGAAATTGATTTTAATACATCAAAAAAAACACAAGAAAACTCCTTTAAGTCAACAAAACAGAAAGAGAAAAAAAAGTTTATCTTTGAAGAACCTTCTTTACCATCATTACCATTGTGGGAGCCACCAAAGCTTCCTGATTCCGATTCAGTATACATTTTAAAATTTTGTCCCATTCGTAAAAATATTATTTTTTTTTGTTTCATTTTTATGGTTTATTTGCTTTTTTTAGATACGATTTTTTAATTAACAAAAAAAAAAGTATAATATAATCAGAATATTGTGAATGTATTTATAATCATTGTTAATCTTGTTTAGAACTTTTTGTCCGTCTCTGCCTCAATGGATCAAGTAGATGACTTGCCAGTTACACAGATAGTGTTTCCATCAGAAATGCGTTCCATGCGTTCAATTTTAGACACTAATCATGGTAATAAAGAAAATATTAATATAGATTATTTACCAGCTAATTCAGTTGAAGAGTTTGACTCACTAGAAAAAAAAAATTAACTCTTATGATAAAGATATCATTTGCAGAAAGTTAGAGCAAATTGGTGGGAGAAATGTAAGTGACTTTTTAAAAAATGCTTTAAAAACTTGTTTAACAGACAAGCTGTGCTGCAGCATTAATCGAACTGGTGCAGATAAAAAGAGTAAGTTTATAGGACCAGTCGAAAGTTTGATTTTTCATGCAGCTTACTGTTTATTTCCAACTGCCACTGAATCCAGTATGACTACAATAATTGCGAAACACTTGAAAAAGTCTAAAGATCGTTATTTTGTTACAAGAAAGAGAAGTTCTTCTTTAACAAGTGATATACAAATACACAGTCCTGTTAGAAAAAAAAGAAATTTAAACACTGACTCATGTAGTGATTTCAGTTAACTTAATTTTTTTGTTTATTTGTTCTATTATTTTTTATTGACTTTTTTTTTTATTTGTTACAACTTTTTTAGCAATTATTTTCGAAAATTGATAAAGATTTAAAAAAAAAGTAAAATTTGACAGAATTTTATTCTATTATCTTTGTAAATATCTTTTGAAATTATTAATTTAATTTAGGCAAAATCATTTTGTTGTTAATGACTTTTTATTTTTCAAAAGTAATCTATAACTTTTCATTTAACATTTTATAATTTATAACTTTTTATGGAAACAAGTATTAACATTTTGTATTTAATTTGTTATAAATGCAATCTTATTTTAATGGTTATAATTCACTCCCCTGAAAAATATAGCACGCGATTCTTTGAGCATATCTTCTAACCTAGCCGAGATTTTCTAGCCAAATCGATGTCATTGTCGTAACGACTTAATGCTAGCTATTCGCTAGCTTATTTAGCTAGCAGTCCCCGTGGCCATACCGCTGTCTTTTTCGTAACGACTTGTCGCTAACTTGTTTAGCTAACGGATCGCTAGCTTATAAAGCTAGCGATCCTCGTGGCCAAATCGCTGTCTTTATCGTAACGACTTAGTGCTAGCTAATCGCTAGCTTATTTAGCTAGCGATCCTCCTGGCCATATCACTGTCTTAATCGTAACGAATATCGCAAGCTGTTCGCTAGCTTGTTTAGCAAGCGGATCGCTAGCTTATAAAGCTAACGATCTTCGTGGCCAAATCGCTGTCTTAATTGTAACGAATATCGCTAGCTATTCGCTAGCCGATTTCCCACCGGGAAGTAAACATGATATGTATACATTCGTATAATTTACTAAATAAAAAATTCGTATTTTTAGAAAGTTGTTTAAAAACACTATATGAAGTTACCTTTATGGAATGCAAAGGTTCGGATACTGAAAGCAGTTGACCCGAAGTTTGACATCGAAGGCATTGTTTTATCTACGGAAATAATTATGTCTTTATTTCTTTTTTAAACTTTTATGTTAACTTACCAAAATAGACGGTAGTAGTTTCACAATTCTACTCCAATGATAAAGTAGATAAATAATGTATGCAAATGCATTAATTTATAAGCAAAATACTTTACCCATTTTTTTATATCTCCGGTAATATTAGGCCAATAATATTTTTACAGCATTTTTATAATTGTTTTGTTAGTGCCACCATGGCCCCCTAAAGGACTGTTATGCTCTGCATCAAAAACTTTTTTTTGTTCTTGGACATCCACAACAATATCCGCATAATAAAAGTTTCCACAAATCTTCACTTTACGCTTCAACTTATTATCTTAAATTATAAAACATTTTGCAAACATACTTTCCATTTCAATGAAATAATTGCCTGGTTTTTTATTACCAATACCTAGCACACAGTAACTTTTTGACACATTTCTCAGACTTCGTTTTTCATCTTTTTGAAAGCCAGCTGGATAAGAGTTCTCTTTTAAATATACAAAAATATTTTTATAGTAATTTTCACTTTTTTTCAACTTTAGAGATTTTTAAAATGTTAAGTAGTACATCTAACCTGTTTTCATCTTTAGAATCGGGAACTATTTATATACATATATATTCGTAAAAAAAATCAATAAGTATGTCATAATGACTCATGAAGAAAGCAGTTAGACTCAATCATTAATATTGCGGATATGAAGTAAGGAAATACTTAAACGTGCTATTAGGTTCAATGAGTTTCGTATTAGCTATTATAGGAAATGATTATCACTAACTGTTTAAAAACGATTTTATATATATATTTTACCTACGCTGTATGTGTTGTACAAGTTGATGATGCTTATACTAAAATTCCGTTTTAGTGTTACCCGTAGAAAATTAAACAAATATTAATTTTAAAGAAAAAATAAAATATTTTATTATTAGAATAAACACTTTATCGAAGTACCAGGTATTTAAGTAACTTCTACAGTGTAATATTATTTTAAAAAAACATTTCCCTTCTCCGCGTTTTTTATAGACGTTTAAAGGCCTGTATTATGCGTATTAAAATTTAGACGCCTTTGAAAAGCTATGGATTTTTGAGACAAGTGTCTGATAAAAATGTCTTTTAAACTAAAATAAGTGAAGATAAACTCTCAACCTCAACTAATATATTTAAACATATAATGTCACTTCACTTTGTTTTAGCTCATTCTTTTTCTAGCGCTCATCTTTATTTAAACCTTTTAATTTTCCAAACTGATTAAAACGAGCTGCTTGATTCACGAAAAGGTTATGGCAAATATTATAAATAAGGACAATTTCTGTGCAGATTTTTTTGTTATGTTTATTATGGCTACGCGTTGGTACTGAACTCGTTGAATAAAAATTAAAACAACTTTTATTATAACAATTGATATAGTCAACTTTATTACCTAATTCAATCATTTAAATTAAGCTACCACGCTCTCGTCTTTTTTTCAAACTTTTTGAATTCAATTCTATAAATCTGTCATTATAAGGATGATTTTTATTTGTAAGTGAAATCTTCCTCGAACAATCACGCACTTCAGCATTTGTGTCATTAATAAAATAGAAAGACCTAACAAAAGCAGAATTTTTTTAGTGTGGAAGAATAAATAGAGTATAATTGCTCAATAGTATTTTTTTTCAAAATTTTTATTTTTACAAACATGTGCTAACTTTTGATGGAATATGTGTGTGTATATATATATATATATATATATATATATATATATATATATATATATATATATATATATATTTGTATGGCACTGTGGGCATAGAACAACATTAATCGAAATGTTTTCATATTAGAAAATTTTTTCATTATAAATTACTTAACCCTAATCACAATCTTAACTTAATCACAATCCAAAAATTGTTTATGTACTTTGTCTTTTTCATCTTTTAAGGTACATTGTTCTTTATCATTTTAATTTAGTATGATATTGGATGATTCTTAATCCGAAATACACGATTTTATATTTATCGTAATAAATAAAAATCAATTTTTTAACTGCCACTTTAAAAAAATTTGTATTATTTTACTAATTGCAAACTGGACTAAATATTATTAACTCACCGAGCCAGCTAACATGGAGTAGCTACGTAAAGAATCAGTAATCGAATTATATTTCCATACCAAACCACCCAAAGAAACGTTAATATTTAAAATTAATTATTTAATATTGTTCCTTTATTAAAAAAAAAAAAAAACTTCTATTATTCGAAAATAAGTTTTAACTTCTTCATATTTAAAACCAGGAAGGTTTTAAATTTGAAGAAGTTAAAACCTTCCTGAGACACCACGCCTCAGCCCCCATAGGTGGACGTAATGAAGAAAAATTTTAAATTAAGCATTAGAATAAAAAAAGACAAACTGTAATTATTTATTTTCCCTCAAAACATTTTTTACATTAAAACTAGTAAAATATTTATGTTGTAAGATATAAAAACATTTAGAATAAAAACTTATTGTAATTAATTTCATTACGTTCATTTTAAATCTTATGAAAATTAAATTCTATCAAAACTTTATAAATGACTTCGCTGAACAATGTCGCATGTTTTAATTGTTAGCCTAATCGTATCTAAAGAAAATAAAATATTAAATTAAAACTTTAAAAAACTAAATAAACTATTAAATTAAAGATTCTTCATTTTATTAAAAGTTCTTTAAGTAAATACATAAATTTATTATAAAGATCTCCTCATCAGACTAGGACCCACGTAACAAAAAATAGCTAACACTACTTGAGATAAATATCTTACTTAAAATACACATCGACCCAATGCAGGCTTTTAAAAAAAGAAATCCCTTTAAGTAACTCATAAATAATTTAAATATGTTGTATTTAGTAACTAGAATTTAACATCCATCACTTGTAATTTCTGTATAAATCACATAAAGAAACAGAAATTTTTTCCTAAAACATCACATCACCCTAATGAAGACTTCTAAAATATTAAATCACCTTAAGTAATTCATACAATATATCAAATAATTAGTAATTGACATTTAAAATATTAGATTCATCACTTGTAAATTCTGTGTGTATCACAAAAAGAAACTAAATACTTAAAATATCACATCCCACTATGTATACTTCTCAAATATTACATCCCCCTAAGTAATTCATACAATACTTCAAACGATTAGTTTGAAATATTGTTTGAAACAAAATTCTTAGTTACAATATCACATCCCCCCTATGAATACTTCTAAAATATTACATCCCCCTAAGTAATTCATATAATACTTCAATCGATTAGTATTTGGTATCTAGAATATCACATTTCCCTCGGTTTATTCACTGTATAAGTTGCAAAAAGAAACTGGAATTCTTACTTAAAATATCACATCCCCCTATGCAGGCTTCTAAAATATTACATCCCCCTAAGTAATTCATATAATACTTTAACCGATTATTATTTGGTATCTAGAATATCACATCCCCTCAGTTTAATCACTGTATATGTCACAAAAAGAAACTGGAATTCTTACTTAAATTATCACATCCCCCCTATGCAGGCTTCTAAAATATTACATCCCCCTAAGCTTTTTATAAAGTATTTTAAACGATTAGTATTTGGTATCTAGAATATCACATTCCCTCGGTTTATTCACTGTATATGACACAAAAAGAAACTGGAATTCTTACTTAAAATACCACATCCCCCCTATGTATACTTCTAAAATATTACATCCCTCTAAGCAATTTATAAAGTATTTTAAACGATTAGTATTTGGTATCTAGAATATCACATCCCCTCGGATTATTCACTGTATATGTCACAAAAAGAAACTGGAGTTCTTACTTATAATATCACATCCTCCCTATGCAGGCTTCTAAAATATCACATCCCCCTAAGTAACTCATATAATACTTTAAACAATTAGTATTTGGTATCTAGAATATCACATCCCCTCGGATTATTCACTGCATATGTCACAAAAAGAAACTGGAATTCTTACTTAAAATGTCATATCCCCCCTATGCAGACTCCTAAAATTAGGTACGCGGAAATCCGTGTTTTACGGAACCGAATTTTGTGCTAAAATTTTGTGCCAGGTTTTTTGAATTTTTTTTTAGGTAACGTCAGGCGAACGTATTTTTGTGGCGTTTCTGTTTAGAAACATTACTAAACTTAGATTATTTTTGAAAAAAAGAATAGTTAAACTTGATTAATATATAACATTTATGTGTGGTTAGTAGATTTTGTGTTGCTTTTATTTGTATTAAAAACTTAGTTGTTGTTCTTACATTAATTTATTGTTGAAGAAATGCTCAGATAGTTTGCAAACCTATCCAGTTTTTTACATGTATTTTTTATCTACATACCAAATTTCATTGAAAAATATTATTGAGCAGATAGTCTATAAAAGTGAGAAGTTTTGGCACCTCATTTCTGTTTTTCTGATTTCCGTAAGTGGGTGGTAAGAGGGGTACGAACAAGTTGAATTTTATTTGGTTAGTTTATGTTATATGTATAATATATATATATATATATATATATATATATATATATATATATATATATATATATATATATATATATATATATATATATATATATATATATATATATATATATATATATATATATATATATATATATATATATATATATATGTATTTTTTTTTTTTTTTTTTTAAATAAAAAAACTAGTGAAAATATGCAAACTAATATTAATTAATATAAAAAATGTAATAAATTATTGCAAAAAATAAATACTTATATATATATATATATATATATATATATATATATATATATATATATATATATATATATATATATATATATATATATATATATATATATATATATATATATATATATATATATATATATATATATATATATATATACCCATATAGTGTAGCTTTAAGAGCATTTTAATGTAAAAAAAGTCTCTTACGACTACAATTTTAATTACCTCGCCTCTTAAGCTGTTTTTGATTGTCATCGAAATGTCAAAGCAATTAATTTATGCGGAAGTACATTAAATTTAATTGTTTTTTAAAAATTTTTAAAAAAACCGCAATTATAACGACTAGAAAGTTTTTTTTAATTAGTGGTGTTTTTGTTATTGATTTAATAAAAAACATTTTTTAAACATGCGTAAATGTTGCTACATCGACTATCTTATAGCCTGACTCGCAACGGAGTGCTGCTACATCGACTGACAAATAGCCTGACTCGCAACGGAGTGCTGCTACATCGACTGACAAATAGCCTGACTCGCAACGGAGTGCTGCTACATCGACTGACAAATAGCCTGACTCGCAAGGGAATGCTGTTACATCGACTGACAAATAGCCT